GTGGAAACGCTCGCTGAGCTGGAGACGGGCTTTGCGGATCCAAGGGATCAAGACATCAGGGACCTCACCCTTGGTGCGCAAGGGGAAGACCGTGGTGTAGCGCGAGTAGTCCTCAACAACTATCAGGAAGTACCTCTCCTGACTCTGACCACGGACGCGGGCTGGGCCCCACACGTCCATGTGGAGCGTCTGCAAAGGAGCAGTCGTCGGGGGAAACGAGGAGGAGTGAGGAGCGGCGCGCTGCCGCCCCTCGACGCAGGGAAGACAGGGAGGAGCAGGCGAGGGTGGGAGGGGAGGGAGGACTCTGGGAAGACCGGAGACAAGGTACCGGGAGTGCATGGCACGAAGGCGCTGCACAGACGGGTGGCCAAGTCGGTGGTGCCAGAGGACAGTCTCGTGCGCCAGAGAACGACACGAGCAAGGGGCAGACAGCTGACCTGACGCGGACGCAGACGCAGACGCAGCGACCTGAGGGGACTCAGTGGTCAGTGTGTACAGGTCCGACCCCGGCTGCCGAGTGAAGGTAGCCAAGTGGCGGCCCGTACGAGCACACGTGCAATGTGTCACGCGCTCGTAGGCAGGGGTGAACTGGTGAACACCCCCGTCCTGGAGTGCACTACCTGCCACCAAGTTCGTAGAGAACGAGAGGAGGTGGAGACCTGACAGTGTGCTCGACGGGACCGCAGGACAGGGAAGGACAGTGGAGGAGGTCGCAATGACTGGACCTCCAGAGGGGTCAGCGAGGGATACAGCAACTGGCCGAGCAAGCGGCTCAAGGGCAGTGCGGTCACGAAAGAAGCAGCGAGAAGCACCTGAGTCCAGTGTGAAAGTGTGTAGTGCTGCCGTCGACTCAGTACCAGGGGGGGCAGACGCACAAGCACCTAGAGCAGCTGCCTCACCAGCACCCGGGGTAGCAGACACGCGAGTACCTGGAGCGGCAGACGCACTAGTCCTAATGCCCGGGTCGGGCGGCACACACAGGTACTCAGCACCCTCGCCACTAGCAGACATCATATACATAGCAGTGAGAATAGCATCAAAGTCTAGAGCATAGATATCAATCCCCTTCTTCAGGAGATCAACCCAGCGGGGCAGCTCAGTGGCCTGAGGGAACTGAACACGGCAAGCGTCGTTGAGACGAGCGAAGCAGCGCTGTGTGGCGTGCGGTCCCCCACACGGTTGACCAGTGCGGTCACCAGTGCGAATGACGTACGTGCAGCTAAAGCCACCCCCCCCCCCGTGCTGAGAGTACCAGGGGCGACAGAGTGTGCTGCTGGCCCTGGCCACCGCCAGCGCCTCCACGACCACCACCGCCGCCGCCACCTCCTCGACCACCCCAACCCCTGCCGCCGCCGTGACCACCGCCACCCCCACCACCGCCTCCGCCCCTGCCACCTCCCCCGCCGCTGCCGCCACCACCCCCACCGCTGCCACTAGCCCCTCCTGTCGCGCCACCACCCCCACCGCCGCCACCGCCCCCACCACCGCCTCCCCCGCTGTCACCGCCACCGCCCTTGCCCCCTTTGCCCTTGCCGCTGCGGCGCCCGCTCGAAGCAGACGCAGTCCCGACCTTCTCAGCACCAAGGAGGTCGACAGCAGCAGCAGAGGCGACAGAGGGAAGAAGGGGGGAAGGAGAACACCTCTCAAAGAACGGGGTACGAGGGTCGCCACGAGAGGCACCTACAGCGACTATGCTAGCCTCAGCTGCAAGGAGTTCCTTTTCGAGGAGGGCAATGGTGAGCTCAGTGGGGCAGCGAGCTAGGAAGTGGTCCCTGACTGAGCGCAGAATGTCAGGGAGGCGGGTGACTAGGTGGTAGAGAGTGAGCCAGAGTGGGGGTGGGTTCTTGGCAAGGAACTCATCAGGCATGGCGGCGCGGAAGCGAGCCTCACTAGTGCGGAGGTGCGTAATGAGGTCAGCGACAGTGTGGAAAGAGGCTAAGTCGGGGAACAGGTAGGGAAGAGAGAGACGGCCTAGTGCGGCAGAGGCCGGTGAGGAGTAGCGGGCAACTACAGCAGTGTACAATGCCTGTGCAGTCTTGTGCTGCCCAAAGTGTTCGCGCTCATCTATCGGCAGGGAGTTGCGAATAGCGAAGCGAGAGTGGGCGTCACGAGTCTGCCACTGTGAGCGGGCAGTGCTGTCAGTAGTAGCAGCAGGAGCAGGAGCATGGCCTAGGGCGTGATCGTACAGTGAGATGTCCTCCTTGGCAGTGAGCTGTAGGAAGAGGTGTAGGTCATCTAGCCAGGTTTCGAACTTCACTGGACGGCCCTGAGCATCGAAAGCTAGCACAGGAGGGCTAGTCATAGCAGTAGTAAGAGTAATAGCAGTAGGGGCACCCCAAAAACAGTAGGCAGTGCGACTCAGGTAGGGTGGCTCGGTCCAGTACGGGCGGCGCGGCTCGGTTCAGGTAGGGCGGTGCGGCTCGGGATGGGCGGCGCGGCTAGGTTCGGGCGGCGCGGCTTGGTTTGGGCTGGGCGGCTCGGTTCGGGCGGCTCAGTTCGGGCGGCTCGGTTCGGGCGGCTCGGTTTGGGCGGCTCGGTTCGGGCTGGGCGGCTCGGTTCGAGCTGCTCGGGTCGGGCGGCTCGTTCTGGGGGGGCCGTTCGGGGCCTCTAGGGGCGAGCGCGGGGCCGTAAGGGGCCGCTAAGGGCGAGCGCGGGGCCGATCGGGGCCTCTAGGGGCGAGCGCGGGGCCGTAAGGGGCCGCTAAGGGTGAGCGCGGGGCCGTTCGGGGCCTCTAGGGGCGAGCGCGGGGCCGGCGAGCGCGGGGCCGGCGAGCGCGGGGCCGCTAAGGGCGAGCGTGGGGCCGACGGGGGCCTCTAGGGAGGTGAGCGCAGGGCCGACGGGGCCGTTAGGGGCGATCGCGGGGCCGACAGGGTCGCTAAGGGGCGAGCGCGGGGCCGTAAGGGGCGAGCGCGTGGGCCGACGGGGCCTTAAGGGGCGGCGCGCGAGTCGCTAAGGGGCGGGTCGCGGGTCGCGGGGCCTTAGGGGGCCGTGAAAAACGAGGCGCCCTAGGGCGCAGTTAGGTAGGTAGGTAGGTAGGTAGTGGTGGGCCCTAAAAAAACGGTCCTAGCGAAGGACCTGCTCTATACCATGTTGAAATGAACGAACAGTAATGATTGAACTAACAGTGAAATCAGCACAAGTACCTAACCCTAGAATTGTGTACCCCCTATAGGCTAACCCACTGTAGCCTAAACAAGCACAACATATATAATGTTTGACACGATCGAGAGGTGCGGTAGAGATGGACTCAGTGGGAGGATGGGGTTGTTCCCGAAGCTTGCTCTGTGCACAGTCAAGGCAAGGTGGTCCAGAAAGAGAGGGGGGTTGTGGAAGTGAGGCGGGCAGCCCATGAAGGAGTTGTTTGGTGGCAAGGTCTGAAAGTGCGCGGAAGTTGATGTGGCCGAGGAGGTTATGAAATAGCATAGTCTTGTCAGTGAGGAGGCGGCAGTGACATGAGGGGGAGTCAGAGGATAGAAGCGGAAGGTTGGTGAGGGAGCATGTTTGAACGGGAGGTACAACTAGTTTGTACAGGTTGTTGGAGTTAAGGGTGAAGCGGGCAAGATGGAGTCCGGTTTTGGCGTCAAACATGTCACAGTAGTCAACATCATTGGGAAAGATGGTGATCACGCCTGCGTGCTGGATTTCCCGCTGTGCAAGAAGGTTGTAGCGGAGGGTTGGGGCACAGATGCCAGTGACTGTGCCGGATGGGAAAGCTGGACAGGAGACTGTGGAGGACCCATGGCATTGGATGGAGAAGCTAGAATCGGCTCCAAGGAGTGAGGTGGGAGCCTGGTAGGGAACGAAGGCAGTTTGGTCTTTAAGCACTGTGTGGGTGGCACCACTGTCTAGTATGAACTCGATTCCCTGTGTGGTTGAAACACCGATGTACTGCGACCCCTTCTCATTAATAAGACCAGCACCAGAGAACAACAGGTTAAGGCGAACATCAGATGGGGCACTAGCAAATGCCTGAGCAGGTTCCTCCACTGCCTCGACCTGGTTCACGCGACGGGGTGGTGCCCAGTTGGGAGGGCGCTTGTCCTTGGAGACACCGTGGACGTCATACCACTCGTCATCTCGCTTCTTGAAGCAAGTTGCCTCAGGGTGGTTGGTGCCGTTGCATTTCTGCCCCGCACGTGGACCCTTCCTAATGAGGTACTGGCATGGGGGAAAGGAGTTGCGCCTCTGGCCCTGCTGGGAACGAAATGGGATGCCAGGGGAGTAGCGCACAGCATTGACGGATGCCTGGGCTGCAAGGTCCTTTTCGGCGGAGAGAAGGGCCGAAGCGACTTTCTCAAAGGTGAGTTCCTTGGTGGGGAGCTGCTTGAGCATGGAACTGGTGACGTTGTAGGCCGGGGTGAGTCCGACGAGAAGCCCAGCAGCAAGTGCCTGTTCGAGGTCCTTGAGCTCCTCATGGATGTTGCGGATTTCAGAGATGTAGTCTGCCATGTCCGAGCATTCCCCAAGACGGATTTGGAACATGCGAGGAATGAGGATTGCAACTCCCACAGCAGTTTTGTCATGAAAACGATCCTGGAGGTACTTCCAAATGTCATGCGCAGAGCGGAAGGTGCGGTAGGACTTGACTAACTCAACTAGGGTAGTGGTGATGAAAACCCTAATCACTGCCGCATCCGCCTGCTCCCAGAGACTGAAGTCCATCGCATACTTGGTGTCTCAGCGTCGAAAGCAAGCTTGGCTGTGGCAGTGGCGCTTTCGCCGAGAGGATCGGGAGGGAGAGGCATCTTCCCCTTGCCGCGGTTGAGGAGGATGTCCTTGAGGCAAATCCTCTTGAGCTCCGAGCTAAGGAGGTGCTTTTCCACTCCATAGCACCACTCCCTGAAATTGGTGCTCGTGCCGTTGGGAGCGAGGTTAAGGATGATGAGGTTTCCGATGAGAGTGGAAGTTGAAGTCGCCATTTTTGCGGAGCGCAGCGCTAAAGTCTCCGATACGTAGCGGAGCGGAGTTCGGGTGATCAACTTGTGTTATCGACAAGCCTGATGTGCTTTGACTTGACTTGCGCTGACCTCTCGTTTCCGTCCCCTGTGTGTTGACTTTGACTCACGCTGCCTTTGACTTGCGTTGACTTTGACTTGCCTTCACCTTCCCACCTCACAGGTCTCTCACCAGTTGTCAGCTCTAGCTGCCCAGCTGCTGCCCCTCTTGCCTGTTGAAGACCTTCAGACTCCCTTTGAATCTGGCCTTCCAGGTAGGTTGACTTGCGTGACCTTGCACTCCCAGGTTGACTTGCTTTGACCTTGCCCTCCCAGGTTGGTTGACTCGCATTGACCTTTCCCTTCACTCTTCGCACCCTCCTCTCCATTTGCTTTTCACGTAAACCCAGCACCTTAAACTCTAAAACTCCTTTCCCCCCATCTCGAATCTATCACCAGCCTGTGTGGAGCGCATATCATGTGCAGCATCGGAACTGCAGCGCAGAGCAGCAGCGGCAGTGGAGGGGGTGATGGCTGCGCTGAGGGACGTGGGATCACTGCTGGGGCTGCTGGCGCTGCTCGACGTTTCCATTGTAAGGGGGGGGGATCGGGTTAGGGAATGGTGAATGGTGATTACATTGTGTGAGGAGGGGAATGGAGTGGAGTGGTGATTACATTGTGTGAGGAGTGGAATGGAGTGGAGTGGTGATTACATTGTGTGAGGAGTGGAATGGAGTGGAGTGGTGATTACATTGTGTGAGGAGTGGAATGGAGTGGAGTGGTGATTACATTGTGTGAGGAGTGGAATGGAGTGGAGTGGTGATTACATTTCGTGGCCAGTTGGGGGAGTGATTTTCTCCACTGCAAGACGTGGGGTCGCTGCTGGGGCTGCTGGCACTGCTCGACGTTTCCATTGTAAGGCGCAGGTTGGGGAATTGGGCATCGCATCATGAGCGGACGGTGTGGTGAATGCATTGTGCGGAGCGGAGTGGGATGTGTGTTTCCTTCTGGGGTTGTTGGTGCTGCTCGGCATCGTCTCCATTGTAAGGCGCGGCGCATTATGGTTGATTGAGGTCGGGGAATGGTGAATGCATCGTGTGAGAAGTGGAATGAAAGGTGATTGATTACATGGTGTGAGCAGTGCAGCGGTTGACTGCTGCACTTCCCCAGACTCAACCCGTCCAGCCAGCCTTCCCTTGTGCCCTCAATTCCTTTTACCCTCCCTCTCCTCTCCTCCTCTCCCCACCCTTCTCCCCCTGTCAGGCGCATGCATCCACACTGCAGTTCATCCAGGCAGCGCCATGGCTGGGCCTCATGCCTTGCCCCAACCACAGCCATCTGCTGCAACTTCTCAGAATCAACCCCTCTGACCCGCTCTGTCGCCCCTCCTGCCCCTATTCCCTTCTCTTTTCCCACCATTCCCCAACCCTCCCCTCTTACTCCCCATGCCAGGCACATGCATCCACGCTGCAGTTCATCCAGGCAGCGCCATGGCTGGGCCTCGTGCCCTCCCCCAGCCACAACCGCCTGCTGCAGCTGCTCAGAGTCAACCCCTCCGACCTGCCACTCCTCCTGCCTCCATTCCCTTCTGTTCTCCCCAACCCTCTCTCTTCTCCCCCCTCCTCCCCTACCACCGCCCCTTTCTCCCCCCATCAGGCCCATGCATCCACGCTGCAGTTCATTCAGGCAGCGCCCTGGCTGGGCCTCGTGCCCTCCCCCAGCCACAATCGTCTGCTGCAGCTGCTCAGAGTCAACCCCTCCGACCTGCCTCCCCACGAGGCCTTCACCCCCAGGGGCCTCCGCCACCGCTCCCCCCGCCACCGCCCCTCCCATGAATCACGCCGAGAAACAAAGGGCGGTGGATCAACAAGGGCGGAAGCAGCCTGGGCATCTGTGGCCCGTGGAGCTGCTGGTGATGCTGCTGCTGATGACGATTGTCGTGGTGATGCTGCGGTGCGGAGCGGTGCAGATGGGCAGGGGATGGATCAGGGCAGAGATGGTTTTTTAGCTGCCCGAGGGGGTGAAGGGGAAGCCGAGGACGGGCAGATGGGTTTCCCGCCGGAAATTTCCCTCCCTCCTGCTGCAGCTGCAGCTGCTGCCGCTGATGGTCCTGCTGGTCCTGATGCTGCTGCGTCTGCAGCTGATGGTTCGTTGTTGGAGCTTCACAATCAATCGCATGGATCCCGTCGCTCAGACCCGCACGATAAACCCTGGCACGTCGATCCACCCCAGGCGGGCCCTCCTCCTCCGCCTGCCCCCCCAGCGGCACCTCTCACGGACCTGCTGCAGCGGGTGTGTGCCTCCGTGCCCGTGGTGCGCTCCTCCATGCTCGGCATGCTGCAGGCTGCTCAGGTGGCAGGTGAGACCAGACTCGATCGTTCGGTGAGGTGCGGTGCAGTGCAGTGCGGTACCGCCCCCTCCTCCACCTGCCCCCCCAGCGGCACCTCTAACGGACCTGCTGCAGAGGGTGTGTGCGTCCGTGCCAGTGGTGCGCTCCTCCATGCTCGGCATGCTGCAAGCAGCGCAAGTGGCAGGTGAGATGATGAGAGGGGTTGGGAGCTGGGTTTCAGGCTTCAAAGTCCATAATATTTTAGCACGTCCGCACATATGCATGGAGAATACCTATCTCGTCTCATCACCCATGCCTTCTCCAACCACTCACTCCCTTCTTTCTTCTTCCTCTCCCTCCCATTTCCCAATCCCTTCCCTCTTATCTTCCTCGTTCCCTTTCTCTTCCCCCACCACCCCTCCCATCCCCAGGCCATCTACTAGGCCCAGGCTTGCATGCAGCACTCAATCAACCCGCCCCCCTCCACTTTCTTTGTTTGTTAATGCTTCTTCCTCCCACTTCCTGATCACCATTTTTTCTCTCAACCTCTTCCACCTGTCTCTTCGCCTTCCCCTTCCCTTCTCCCTTCCCCCTTCCCTTCCCCCTTCCCCCTTCCCTTCCCCCTTCCCCCTACCGCCTTCCCCCTTCCCCCTTCCCCCTTCCCCCTTCCCACTTCCCCCTTCCCCCTTCCCCCTTCCCCCTTCCCCCTTCCCACTTCCCCCTTCCCCCTTCCTTTCCCCCTTCTCTCCCCTCCCCATCCAGAGGCCAGAGCAGTTTGCAGGCAGAGACTCAACTCGCACATGCTCTCTCCACCACTCTCTAATCATTATTTTCCCCTCTCAAATTCTTCTCACCACTCTCTTCTCACCCCTTTCTCCCCCCTCCCCATCCAGAGGCCATCTACTGGGGCAGCGTGCAGGCAGACAGTCTCTTCGCTCACGCCCTCTCAATCCTCTCCACCTCTCTCCACCCCTTCCTACCGCTGCTCGCCCCCCCGGTGGAGCCCTGGGCGGCCAAGGGGCGGAAACCAAGGGAGTTTCACCACCTGCACTCGCTACTGCTCGCTGTAAGCTTGTCCCATCCTATCCTTTGCACGAAGGGGTTTAGGGTTCCGGTTTAGACTCCCCTCCCCTTGTAGCACAGGGGCTGTCTTGTGGATCGACTCACAGAGTCCTAGAAAGGTCTGCCACTGGCGGGCAGTATTGGCCCTGTACACGCTCTTGCTAGCTATATAAGAGCGTGTACTACAGGGCCACTCCTTTCTTCCGCCGCTGCAGCAGAGTAGGTGGCTTTCGAGTCGACTCAAAAGTCTTGTGAGTCGACGCAGAAGTCACCTTGGTACAGGGCCACTGCTTTCTTCCGCCGTTGCAGCACAGTAGGTGGGAGAAGGCATTTGAGTCGACTCAAAAGTGCAGCGCAGTAGGTGGGAGAAGGCATTTGAGTCGACTCAAAAGTGCAGCACAGTAGGTGGGAGAAGGCATCCTGTCCTCTTGAGGCCTACTTTATGTTCGAATGGGTTGTTGTTCTTACTTGGTCATACTTGTTCGTAACTGCACCTTTCAAAATACCTTGATAGCTTCTGTGCCACGCCTCTGCCTTTAAAGCTTGTTTTTTTTTCTTCTTCTTGTGCTGCCCGCCCCTTACCCGCAGCTCATATGCCAAAGACAAGCAACGTCTGCCACAGCCACAGCAGCAACAGAAGCAACGTTGCCTGCACTGGGAACACACGCAGACAGCCACGCCAGAACACCAGACACCAACAACACCGCTCCCTCCTCTCCTTCACCTCATTCCTCAGCTTACAACACTCCCGCCCACTCTCTCTCCTCCTCCTCCCCCTTTACTCCCCCCATAGCACCTCTCACCGCCACCCCTACCTCACACTCTCTCAATACCCCCCAATCTCTCCCCTTAACAGTCCCCCATTCAGGCCCCCTCCCCTCCTCCTCTCCAGCCAACCTTCCCGAACCTAGCTCAAAATCCGGCCCTCTAACTCGTCCTTCCAGGCCTGGAGGCTCGGCCGCAGGCCATACCGAACGTGCAGGCTCAGCAGAAACCTTTCCCGGGGCAGGAGGGATGGGGAGAGGGAGGGGAGAAGAGGAGGGGGATGCAGTGGTGTGGGGGGGGAGTGTGGTGGTTCATTTGCTGGGGCAGCAGAGGCGGTTTGAGCTGGATGATCCATGCTGGCATGCTGTGGCTGTGAGCGATTATGAGAGCATTTGCAGCGGTGGTGAGGGGTTAGGTGGTTTCGGTGCTGGTGCTGATGGGGGAGGAAGAGGGGGAGGAGGGGGGGGAGGGGTGATGCTTGGGGTGATAGGGAGTGCGGAGAGGCAGCGGGGCAAGAAGGCAGCGGCAGCAGCAGCAGCGAGAGAGGCAGAGGCACGGCTTCAGCAACTTAAAGCCCAGGTTAGGAGTACAAAGTGTGTTGCCCTAGGGCATGTCCCAAATCTCTAAATTGATACAAGTAGGCCTGGCAACCCCAAAACTCTCTGTACTCGCCTCCATTCGCTCCCCCCTCCCTGCCTGCCACTCCCTTTCCATGTGCTCTCTCTCTCCCTGCCTACCACACCCTTCTGGACGCTCTCTCACCTTTCCTACCTACCTTCCCACTTCGGGACATTAGAGCCAACTTCTGTCTCCCCTCCCTGCCTACTCCTACCTTCCCACACAGGCATTTTTTTTGTGAAGGACGCAAGGCAATTGTGGCAACTTACCCTCTTTACTGCCGCTCTTTTCTTGTCTACCCACCCCCATACACCCTCTCCCCACACTGCCTACTCTTCCCTTCGCGCACAGACAACAATCTTCGTGGAGAGCACGTGGTAAATGCGCCAAGAACATCGTTTCTGCCAGCCAGAATCCCTTCTCACTTATACACCTCCATGCACTCTATCCCCTCGATGCATGTCTACTCTCTGCGTGCCTTCTCCCTGCCCACACAGGCAACCGGCTTTTTGGAGAGCGCCAGGCGACTGCAGCAGTCAGCCAGCAGGCAGCAGGCGTCCTCCCTTTTGAATTCACACACCTCCATACCCTTGTAAATTCTCTGCCCTACTTTTCCCTGCCCACGCAGGCGACGGCCTTTGTGGAGAATGCAAGGAGATTGGAGCAGGTCAGCCAGCAGGCGTTCACCCCCTTTGTTCTCTGAGCTTCCTTCTACCTTAATACTCCTCTATACACCTCTCCAATGTCACTGCCTACTCCTCCCTGCCCACACAGGCAACCGCTTTTGTGGAGAATGCAAGGCGATTGCAGCAGGTCAGCCAGCAGGCATTCATCCTGTTTGCCGCCCAGGCTCCTCTGCCGCCCAAAGCTGCCAGGGTGTGTAGCGCTAATGGCCTTCCCACTGCCACCTGCTTTCCCACGCCGCCCTTTGGCTCGTCTGCCCCTCCTTCTGCGGACTAGTTAAAGGTTGTTTCTGAGTGTAAATTGTTGAAGGCTGTTATGCTTCGAAGTAGCGGTGGGGCGTGTTAAATGCACCAACATAAGATATTACAAATGCTGTTAGATTTTACTGTAGTGTTCCTTTATAGGACTTCCAACCCTCCAATAATTGTACAATTATTGGACGGCCAGAATTATTGGAGTCTAGAATTATTGGAGGGTAAGAATTATTGGCGTGTAAAATTATTGGTGTGGACAGGGCCCTCCTGATGGGGTGACCTGCTGACATACATACCCTGCTCTGTCATTCCAGAACATCAATCAATTCCATTACTCTGATTCTGCTTTCAACCTTTTCAGTGCAAGTCTTCCAGCCTTACTCTTTCTACGATCTAACTTCCGCAACGCCGGCATCATGCCTTTCTAGCATGGTATCAGAGCTACTCTAGGGGGCATGTTGCCGAAATTTGGTCAGAACCTTATCAGCATTCAAATTGGACAGACATATTAGCAAACTCGCACAGCAAGTGACAACATATAGATTGAAGGCATGGCGCGGTTCGACGATGAAGTCGATGCTGGATATGAGGCGTTTGAAGAAGCCATCATGGCTCAACATGAGCATCTGGAGAACATGATTGCAAGGGCACCACCGACACTCCAAGCATCATTAAGAGCAAAGTTCAACATGCAAGCCCAAGTTCGAGATTTCAGCAACCCATCCCTCCGTGAACAGTCACATGCAAGCACTCCGCATACTAACCAAACCCATGCTTCAAATATGGATGCAGGGATTGTAGGTGAAGGAGAGGGAAGCTTACCCCAAGGAGGAGAGTCATCCCAAGGGAGGGATGCATCCTTCCAAGGAGAAGGCAGCTCCCACCCCGAACCTCAATCAACCATGCAAAGGGAAGCAACGGGGAGGGATGATGCGTATGGGAGTGGAACGAATGTGATGGAGCATGGTGATGGGATCGGCGTGGGAAGAAACGTGAGAGGACAAATCGGTGAATGGAGTGGTCGAAGCAGTCATGTGGGCATGGAAGGTGTGGGATTCGAATCCTACACTATTGGTGCTCCCCCACTACGACGTCTTGCTACTAATTCCCATCCCATTGGAGTTCCCGTGATGGGCAGATCTCACCTTTTTTGCAACAACGTCGTACCTCCTCGTGCGCCACGGTCTCAAATGGGAGCAGTACCTGCAGGAAGCATGGGGCGCATGGGGCACGGGATGCAGTCAAGTGGAGTTATGCGACGTGATCAAGTGGAAGTGGTGGAACGTGAAGGCACCCAACGAACAGTACAACTAGCTCGACCATCTAATGTGCCTACGCTCTTCGACCCGTCTCCACGCGAGTACACGGAAGAAGACAAGGACACGTTGTCACGCAAGATGGTGGGAGCAGCAGTGGACAAAGCGTTCACAACAACCCCGTTCGACGAGACTGACTTCCGAGAATGGGCTCTTCGGTTTCGGATGAATGCGCGCGTGACAAATCTGTGGGAGTTTTTCGTGACACTACAATACCCGATTACAATGGCGAGTGGAGAAATGCGAGATGCGATGGAACGGCTGGAAGTTCTACAAGCAGATTACTCACAACGGGCTACGCTGGCCTTTTGGGTGCTGCTACATAGCGTGAGCGCAACGATTCAGCTGCAACTGGACGTGTTCCAAGAGTCATACAATCCGGCATTCAAAGCATGGGAGTACCTGATGGAGACTTACCAGGCAAAGGATTCGGTGGCAAAGGCATCTCTCCAAAGGCAATTGGACAACCTGAGGATGGGGAGTCAAGAAAGAGTGGAGGAGTACATCAACCGAGCAACTGCAATTCGTGACAAGTTAGCAATGGCGGGCAAATTGGTGGATGAAGATTCATTCACCTTAAATCTGATTACCGGACTGTCGCCGCATTGGGAGGAGCTAAGGCATTCAGCAATGCTACACGACATCTCGGACAGCCACACACTACAGCGAATGATGATTCAGGAACAGCGCTATCAAGACCTCATTAGCAAGACCAACCGTGACAAACGTCCTCCCCGCATGGCTGGTCAAGCACGTGGAGATACTTCACCAGCAAAGGAGAGGACCGACACAAAGGGCGACCAGAATGCGGCAAGGTCAACGGGAGGGCAGCATGCGATGGTTGGGGACAAAATCAAAGGCAACGAAGGAAAGGGAGGGCGGTCAAATCTTGTGTGTTGGTACTGCAAGGAATCTGGCCACCTGTTCTACAAGTGTCCCAAGGCGCCTCCGGGTTGGTCACCACCAAGTTGGGAACCACAAAACAGAGGGAGAACAAACCAGCGCACCTGGAGTAGCCGTTCGTCCTCGCCTCGAAGGAGTGAAAGCCCGAAGCGTGACAACCAAGCGACAAAACAGCAAGGGGCAGCCGGGGGAGACAACAAACGAACTATTGCAACGGTTCGATCGTCACAAGCAATGTTACAATCAGCCGGAGGGTCGCTATGGTTGCTGGACAGCGGATGCAGCCAACACATGACTTCAAAAAAGGATTGGTTTGAGGGTCTAGAGGAGCTAAACGAACCTGTTTACGTGGAGCTTGCTGACGGGAGCCACCTGTTGAGCTCGATGGCGGGAACAATTCGAGCCACGGCACCTAATGGAACAACTGTACACTTCACCGACGTGCTCTATATCCCCGAATTGAAGTCCAATTTGCTCTCCTATTGCCAACTGCACAAGAAGGGAGGTCGGATTCGTACTCGTGATGATGGACACATATAGATCACAATGGCAGCTGGAGATGAGCATGTGGTCATTGGGGTTGGGATGATCATGCATGGTGTGCTCATGATGCAATATGAGCCTGCACTTACATCTGCCCATGAATCTGGTCATGATCATCCGAATGAAGCATCGAATGAACCTGGTCTTGGAGGGCTGAATGTGCATTCTGCTCATGCATCCCTCACATACCGCATGGCCCACAAGCGCTTGGGTCACCCATCCTACACATCCATGGACGCAACATTTTGCAATGGAGATGTTGAAGGACTCTCCATGTCCGACAAGACAAACCCCCTCAAACCCCCGCGTGACTCCTGTCTTCGAGGGAAGATGAGCAAAGCCCCATTTCCCACAAGTGGTGACAAGCGCACAACTCGACCTTTGGAGCTCGTGCATAGCGACATCATGGACTTGGTTGACGCTCACCCTTCACTTCGCTACGTGCTGACGCTCAAGGATGACTACACCAACTACCTGTGGGTGGCGCCGTTGGCTCGTTGGTCCGACATGGCAGCTGTTCTCTCGGCATGGCATCGCGAGATGAAGACCAAATTGCCCACAAAGCCGCTGGCTGCCTTACGCACGGACAATGGGGGGGAGTATACCGCAAATGCTTTCACAGACTACCGGAGCTCTCACGGCATCACTCACCAAACGTCCTAACCACACACGCCACAGCAGAATGGTGTCGCCGAACGGGTTAACCGCACACTCATGGACAGGGTGCGCGTAATGACTACTGGGGCCAGCCTTTCCTCTAAGTTTTGGCCTTATGCGCTGGAATATGCAGCATGGCTACACAGCCGCATCAGCTGCAGCAGCAACCCATCTGCACACTCACCGTACTTCATGATGACGGGAAAAGCGGCAGACGTCTCCATGGCAAGGACCTTTGGCTGCCTGTGATACTATCTCCCTCCCCAAGGCAGCTTCGGGAAATTTGAGCAGAGAGGTCGGGCAGGCATGTTTCTCGGCCTCTCTACCTCACGAAAGGCATGGATCGTGCGGGACTTGGCAAGCAATGTTGACACGAACACATGCTCAGCTCGCTTTTTTTATGACCTCATGTTACCGGACACTGAATCGATACTCGAACGCCAACGCTATTTGGAAGAAGTCTCACCGCACACTGACGACTGGACTTCAGGGGGAGAAGGCTTTGGCTCCGAGTTTGACTCCTTTCCCGCATCCCCACCATTGCCTACATCGCCCATGGACACCTCAACCACACGAGGACAAGAAGTTGACGCAACTCAAGAGGACTCACCCGTTGACGACGCAGCCGAAACAGGAGAAGGGGCTGCAGCAAGTGACTTACCTCCAGCAGGCATCTCCATTCCTGAAGTTGCTGAAAGCAACGACATGGAGAATGAGGCAAGTCATCTCTATGACTTTGCCTACCTACCTGATGGAATCGAGCTGGTAGCTCATGACGCAACTCCACGACGGGTTCACTTCAACCCAACGGTGACTGTGCTTGGAGGAGACGGACAAGGGACGGACGGCATGACAGGACTGGACGTGCTGTTTGGGAAACAACGGGCGTTCAACAACCTTCCCAACTTGCAGCAACACGTGCTAGGATGTGCAGCAACAGGCATCCCCATGGTGGCCTTGACGTACAAAGAGCCCAAAACGCTCACGGACATGACAAAAGACCCATACGCACCTCTTTTGCAAGCCTCTGTGGATGCAGAATTGGCTAAATTTGATGAGCTGGAAGCATACGAAGTGGTGGACAGAGCGGACAACTACTTACAGAACACTGCAGACATAAGGCTGATCTATGGAGGAGGGGACTTGGTGCTCCGCGGATACACAGACTCGGATTATGCGAACGAAGCTGGGCGTCACTCCGTTGGAGGCTACGTGTTTACCTTGGGAGGAGCTGTTGTCAGTTGGAGGACCAAATGGCAAACGGTCATTGCAAGATCCACAGCCGAAGCAGAATACATTGCACTGTTCGAAGGGGCAAGGGAGGCTACATACCTTCGCCGTTTGTGTGACGACCTCGGTTTTCGCCAGCGCGAACCTACCGTCATCTTTGTGGATAACCAGAGCGCAATTGCACTTGCAACCGGAGAGCAGATGAGTCAACGCATCAAACACATGGACGTACGTTACCATTGGACGAGGAAGGCCATTCGTGATGGATTTGTGCGGCCGGAGTACTGTCCAACAGCTCAGCAAGCTGCGGATTATCTTGTTAGAATTAGGCTGTCAACACTTTGTGTACTATATTCTATATCGCGTAGGCTAT